GCTCCTATTTTCTCATTGATTCGCCTTTTGGTGGTCCAGCACGTCCACCAACCACCATCCATTCAAGATAAGGTACCAACTGTTGCGCCACAGAGAGCACATCATCGTACATCCAATCGAATTACCTTTGCAGCTGATCGATTTCAGCAGCGGCAAGCTGTTCTGAGCTCAGATGTCCTGCAGGGAACCCGATGTGAGATGGTGGAAGTGCCCTGTACTAGACAGCCGTGTTCTGCACCAATCCCATTGTGTGTGACTTCTCGTGAGTGACTGACTCAACTGCTGTGATCATGACGGCCGGAGGGTAGTGATGCTTGATGATCTGAGCGTGATCGCTAAAAGGACCTTTAGAGACGATCCTGCTCGCACCCCAGTGCGCTGCGGGATCTAGTCCACCAATGACGTTTAGTGACGTCATCAAAACCGCACCGCCTTCCAGCCATCGTAATCGCTGTCTTTAAAAACATTAAATCTACAAAATGGCGTGGCGTTGGCTTTATGTCGGACATCAGATATGTGGTTGGCATGGGGGTGCATAATAAGCTTCCATTGGTGCTTGCGTCATCTCAGCGCCATTTTTGGTGGCTTGGCCCTCTTAGGGATCTGATCTGATAGGAAATACATGACATTGAATGGTTGAAGGGCATAGGTAAGAAACAATTTCAATGCCATGCAAAGGGACAGGGTATCTCTAATCACTACGCCATTTTTGGCATATGAATTTTTGCAATAGGGAATGGAATGAATAAGATATTTCTGGAGTAGTCAATCTTAAACATTTCATCCTTAATTATAACATATTCATACATAACATATGAGTTTATGCAACTCCATCAACACACTATAAGTTACAGCTCCAACAACCACAAGAAGACCACCTCCGCCACCTCCGCCACCTCAGACGAACCGCCCACCGCCACCTCAGACGAACCGCCCACCGCCACCTCCGACGAACCGCCCACCACCAACAACACGACCACCTCCAAACACACGCCCTCCCAATGATCGTGAGCAGCCAAAATCATATTTATATTGGAATGCATCGGTTCAAGAATTGCAAGAGTGACTTTTGCGTCCTTTCAGGACGTTGCGATCCAAATGAAGTGTTTGATCCATGCGGATCAGCATGTGAACCGACGTGCAGGGATCCAAACCCGGTAGGGAAGGCGTTTCTGAGTCTTTTCAATCTGTTAACGAAATACGACTAGCCCTCCAACAAACCAAACCTTTAAGACGACCGTCATCCATGACAGTTATCCTCAACTGTCTGATTCTCTGATTGTGTTATTCGATCTATGGAATTCGGGACAACAGAGGGATCTCGGTTTCGAGGAGTTGTTTTTTCTTTCTTTGCGGCTCATTTTTTAGGGCGGGCAAGTGCAGATGTTGCAGACGAAAGTGAAAAAGAGTGACTCTGATGGGAAATAAATAGAATATTCGTAATGAATCATAATTCTAATAGTACTTAACATTTGGTGAAGCTTTTCTTAGGGTCCTTAAGTTAACTTCACCACTCTAGAGAGAAGTTTCCAACTGCCACGACAGTGCCCATGGACCGCTACTCTAGGGAGACAACAAGTTGGATCGTTCAAAGCTAGTCAACTATATGGTTTACAATTGTCATGCAATTACTGAAATAAACTCTATCAGAGAGTCTGCACACTTCAATGCGTCGCTGGTTGCCGTTGTCGTCAAGGTTTCTTCAGAAATGACAGGGGCACCTGTGTAGCTAATTGTGGTCGTGAGTTTTTCACTCCATTTAATTTATGGATGTAATTTTGGTGAGGATGAAACAGTGACTAGCGTTCGCGTATTCGAAGGGACATTGTGGTGCAGTATGTAGCTTAACTAGTCCCAATTTTTCGGAGGAAGCAAGTCCCGTGGTAAGCGAAACAACTCGCTTGTTCGGAAATTCAGTGTCGCTTTCAAAAAGCTTGTATCAAATGTGAAGTTTACTATAAAAGTCAGTTCATTATATTCAATGTAGAGATTATGAGTGGTGCCGGGGATGAATATGAGAAACGGCCCATGACCCAAGAAATGGGACCCCTCTCTTGCCCATTGATGCGACTCTCATCAGTGCTGCTCACTTTCAACGTGACGTCCTCATGCTAAACGTCAGAATTCGCGCGAGTAGTCACTCAGTCGGTGGGCGTACTGCACCGACAGCACTGTGGAGAGGGCCACCCTAAATCACCGGGGGCTCTTTGCTGCAACTTACTTGTCGGCCCGCACCCTTGGAAAGTCTACTTGTTTTCCATTGGGAAAGTTTTTTCTTTGCCTTTCGACTTATCGTGAAATTATCTTTTAAAAGAAACCGTCATGTTCAAAGGCAGTGATTACGATAGGTTCAAGAAGTATATGTAGGAAACCGGTGGTTCGCCAGTAGCGAAAAAGCGGAGAAATTCGTCAAGAAGTCGCAGAACGGGGCCTTTTAGGCTGTTGGTTTCCGATCATAAATAGGTTGCAGTTAAGTATGAATGAGTTCACTGCAACGCGCTCGGGCGTACCATGCCACACCAGAGTCAACCCTGCGTTGCGCAGTTCGCAACGGCACGTCGAGAGATCCTCAACGCACGCTGTATGGGCGGAGACACAGACGGCTCGAGCATGCGAGTGTGAATGTTCGCGCGAGAGAACGTGTCTAATCGGGCGAAACTGCGCAACAGGGTTGACTCTGGCCAGAGCACGCTGCAGTCGAGCTGCTCCACTTGTGCCGCTGCTGGCGCCAGCCACTAGTACGGACTGCTCCGGAATAGGGGGCGGATCGTTTTGGGGGCGGAGTGCTTCAAGCGATCCTGCCCTCAGCAACGCACGTTCGTCATGGGGAAGCGCCTCTGCTTGAGTGGGCTGTCTGCATTCCAACTAAATCTAGCCAGGGAGACGTGCATTCAATATGAAAACTATTTCGAAGACTGCGCTCTTTTCTACACCAGGCGAACTTAGAAATCATGTTCCTGTTCTTATGGTCGTATAAATAATCAGGATTTGTCTAAGGCCTCGGGCTGAGAACTCGTTCTTTAATTGCAGTGAGCTCTGACGACTTTAACTGCACCGAGAAGTTGACGATGTACGAGGCAAATCAGAACTTCTTGGAATTCACTCTTTTCACTGAAGTGATTCAAAATGAGGGAAAGGGAATGGTTAAAGGAGGAATTCACGATTAGAATGAAGGTCGAAGAAAGGGAAACTGACCTAGTTGAGGGACCCACGGACCTCCTGAGGGTGCGAACTGACGCGCAATTCGCATGGAAAAATTTGACCTCGGCGACCTATCATGCCTCAAAGCTGGCGGGTCCGGCGATCTCCGCCCACCGATCATCTGATCACTCGCCGTAGTTCAATACGTGGCGAGTGATTAGATAGCTGAGAGAGCGTAGTGTTGAAGAGGGCACAGCGATGAGAGTCGCATCAATGCTCAAATCAACGGGCAAGGAAGGGGTCCCATTTCTCGGGTTCTGGGCCGTTTCTCATGGTTCTTCCTTCTTTCGTGTACCACTCACCATCCCTAGGTTAATTTGAAATGGGTTGCTTTTTCATCGTGAATTCGTCCTTTAAATGATTTGGGGAATTTGATCAAGTATTTCCATGGCGCACCCCGGATGGTCAATGCTGTTCAAAATAGGAGCCAGCAATGTTGGTCCCAATACTAGACAACACTATAGACGAAAACTTCTTTTCTATCGATGGCCAGATCTACGGAGCAGAAGGTGTCGAGGTGTATAAAAACACTCGAGTACTAGAGATCATAGGGGTGGTGGGAATGCCCAAACGGTGAGGTGGTGCATAAATTTGCGTAGTCGGCGCGTAGCACCCAACCATGTGCCTTCGGTCGCTAAGGTAACTTTAGCCCAGCAGTTGCGTTCTCACTCATTTCATGCTACGGATTATTCCAATGAATCAGTCGCGCAAGGCTTCCTTCGAACGTACCTTTACCGCCATACGAACCCAATTTTTTTATCCAAGATATTAGAAGTTATAGCCCCAACAACTACAAGACGCCCACCTCCGCCACCGCGACCACCACGAGCTGCCGGACCATTTTCAGCACCACCACCGCCTGGACCGTTTCCAACATTCGGCCCACCACCACCACCAACCTTTGCTCCACCACCAGCACCACCAACACTAACGACGTGCTCCGATGTCGGATGTCCTATGGGATTTCATTGCGAAATGATAGCAGAGCCATGCTTTTTCATTTCATGTGCTGTACCAAGGCCCATGTGCGTGAATGATGTTCAGCCAAGGATTCCACGTTCTGAAAAATCAGGTTCACGTTTGTCGTAACTTTTTCAGAAACTGAGTAGGCGGGATAGTACATCAACATCTTGAGTATTACGAGCTTTTCAGCGCCACCACCACAAACTTGTGCGAACTTTCCTTGTCCGGCTGGGTTCACTTGCCAGATGGTGAGCACCCAGTGTGCGAAGCAGCCAT